TAGAGATGTCTCATCCATAGGGTCTCAATGGGTCGAGATCAACGCAAACACAGTTAAGAACAATAACAAAGTCTACAACATGTATGTTAACTTTTCCATTTAAAATGCTATCTCCTACATTTTATCCCATGTTAATATTCACGTACTGCACAGTGTTTAAGTAGCGCAGATGCACTTTTTAGCTTAACATGTTTAAACAGCCTTAAAAGAAGGTAATGGTTGTTGATTCTTTATGCATGAAATCCCACTTGAATTCTCATTCAGCTTCAGCCTTACTTACCTGAGAGAAAAACCCAAATGAACATAGTGGAAATTATAGTTTTTTTGTGGTTTTTTGTGGCTGTGTGGCCATGTTCTAGAAGAGTTTCTTTCTGACGTTTCACCAGCATCTGTGGCTGGCATCTTCTGAGAAATGAAAGATGCCAGCCACAGATGCTGGTGAAACGACAGAAAGAAACTCTTCTAGAACATGGCCACACAGCCCCCCAAAAATATGGATGCTGGCCATGAAAGCCTACGACTTCATAGTGGAAATTACTTCTGAGTAAACTCATAGTGTAGAGAATCCAATAACATCAAACATCTACCAAGCAGTGATACATTTATTGGATCAACCAAAATGCGTAATATATATTTTGCAAGCTTTTAAAGCTCCATTGGCTTCTTCATCCGGAAAAGTGTTTCATGGTGTAGTGGTTTGATGTTGGACTACGACTCTGAAGACCAGGGTTCGAATTCCTGCTCAGCCATGAAAACCCACTGGGAGGCCTTGGGCAAGTCACATTCTCTCAGCCTCAGAGGAGGTCAAAGGCAAATGCCCTCTGAACATACCTTGACAAGAAAACCCCATGATAAGTTCATTTTAGGGTTGCCATACGTTAAGAAAATGACTTGATGGTACACAGCAACAGAACATGTAGCGTAGCGGTCTTTTCCATCTTATGCCACATCTGTCAGTAATTAAGTCCCACCAGGACAGAAATATGAAGCCTGCTTTTCCCAAGAAGAGGCTAACATATGTGTCCCACTAGGTCCGACCCTATATGTGCAACTTTAAGCATCTTTTCCCAAATTGCAGAAGAAAAGTCCTGCTGGGTCAAACCAAAGGCCTCTCCAGTCAAACATCCTCTCTAGCCCAAACAAAATGCCCACGGCTGCATCTGCACTGCAAAAATAATGCAGTTTGACACTGCTTTAATTGCCATGAAGTCCTGGGATCTATAGTTTGTTGTGGCAGAGAAGGCTAACCCTGCTCACAAAAGTACAAATCCCCAAATTTCACAGCACTGAACCATGGAAGTTAAAGCGGTGTCGAACTCCTTTATTTCTGTGCAGTGCGGATGCAGGCCACAGAGACTCAAAAGCAGAACAAAGGACCAAAATTGCTTCCCAATCAAATCCCAATTTTTGTTTTGAAGGTTTCCTTAAGTCAGAAATGACTTGAAAGCACACAACAACAACAACAACCACAACCAACATTGTTTCAACTAGCCTGAAGAAGAGAACTGGGCTTAAAGGAAAAGATTCCTGATAAACCAACTTTAGTCTTTCTGGCATCCTCTGTTTTTTTTTTTTTTTTTTTTTTTTTGGGTGTGTGTGTATGTGTGAGTGTTGTGTGTGTGTGTCTCCAGTTTTGGTGGGATTGCAAGGCTTGAAAACAATGGAGATGGTGCTAGAAAATAAGCACACACACACACACACACACACAAACCCACAAAAACCAGGCTATGATTTCACAAAGCAGCATCTTCCACCAAAGGGAAAGAGAATCCAATGTAGATGCTTGCACTTCACCTGCACTCCCCAAAATGATGCAATCAAGGGATGAGAAGAGAGACAAACAAAGGCATCCTGAGGCTGCATCCGCATTGTAGAATTAACTCGGTTTGATACCGCGGTATCAAACCGGGCTAATTTTTGCTTATCACGTGCTGCTGCTGATGCCCATCCATTCCCTTCTCCATCTTTACTGCTTTTAATAAAAACCCATAGCCACCAACCTCAATCCTTCCCCACGTGGCTCCCACCGCTTCTGTTGGGACTGCAACTCCCATCATCCCCAGCGTGATGTGACTGCAACTCCCATCATCCCCAGTTCAGTATGGGAAGACCACCAATTCTAAATTACCAATTAATTAACCTTCTTTCCCCTCCAGCTATCACTTACTTTGTTTGGAAAGAGAAAAGCGTGGCGATAAAGAGAAAGAGCCTCGCTGAAGGACGTCTGCTCTCCTCGGCGGCTGCCCAGCGACTGTGGCCAGGTTCCCTGCTCGCCGAATCCTCGGGGAGAAGGGACGGCGGTGATTGGCTGCGGCGGGGGCGTAGGGCCTGGGGAGGACACCCAGGAGCCAATCAGGGGTGAGAGTGAGCCCAGCCTCCTCCCGCGCAAATGGCTTCTCTCCTTCGCCTCTAGGGGGCGCCCGCCGAGGTTCTCAAGAAGGCACTAGAGGAGCGGTGCTTTGGTCTGCGGACGACATTTCCGGGCTCGGCTTTGAAGCCTTGGCTCCAAAAAGCACACTGCAGAAATAATCCAGTTTGAGACCGCTTTAACTGCCCCGGCTCAATGCTAGGGAATCCTGGGAGCTGTAGTTTTGTGAGAAATTGAGCCTTGTCTGTCAGTGCCACAATAAACTACATTTCCCAGGATTCCCTAGCACTGAGCCAGGGCAGTTAAAGCGGTCTCAAACTGGATTATTTCTGCAATATGTATTGGACCTTGGCTCTGTCCCCCTCATGAAGAGTGGCAACACGGATGGCTGTTTTTTTTTTAAATAAACCACACCACAGGCAACTACAATAGAGGATGTGTCCACACTGCAGAATTAAAGCGGTTTGACTCGTTTAACTGCCATGACCCGCAGAATCCTGGGATTTGTAGTTTGGTGAGGTATTTAGCTTATGCTGTCACAGAGAGCTCTGGCGCCTCACCAAACTACACATCCCAGGATTATTTATTTATTTGTTTGCTTCATTTGTATGCTGTCTTTCTCTCAGGAGGAGGCTCACAGATTTTCTTGAGGATTCTGGAGGATAGAGTCCTGGTAACTCAAACTTGGGTTGACCCAAAGGAGGGCAAGGCATGTCGGCTGAGAGTGTGTGACTGGCCCAAGGCCACCCAGTAGCTTTCCATGGCGGAGTGGGGATTTGAACCCTGGTCTCCAGAGTCGTAACAAATCATTATACCATGCTGGCTTTCTGTTGTAGTTGTCATTACTTTTAGCAAACCCTCCAGCCTATGTGTACCGACATAACACAAGGCCTTTGACGGCACAGATCATGAAAAGCTATGGGTTGCTCTTAAAGACATGGGAGTGCCAACACATCTGATAGTCTTGATGAGGAATCTGTACTCGGGACAAGAGGCTACTCTCAGAACAGAACATGGAGAAACAGAATGGTTCCCAATTCGCAAAGGAGTGATATAAGGTTGCATCCTTTCATCCTAGCTGTTCAACATATATGCAGAACATATCATAAGAAAAGCAGGCTTGGACACAGAAGGAAGGAAGGAAGATCAACAATCTAAAGTATGTGGATGATACCATACCACTAGCAGAAAACATCACAGACTTGAAATAATCACTTAAGAAAGTCAAAGAAGAAAGTCCAGACCTAATGTTAAACACAAAGGAAACAAAAATAATGACCATGGGGGATTCACATAAATTCAACCTAGACAACAAGGAAATCGAAATACCTGTACTTCAGCTAAGAAGGATCCAGACAAGATACTAAAGTGTAAAGGCACACAGCTGAACATTAAAGTTTGAACTGTCCAAGCCACTGTGTTCCCCATCACCATCTACAGATGTGAGAGCTGGACAGTAAAAGCAGACAGGAAGAAAATTAACTTATTTGAGATGGGGTGCTGGAAAAGTGTGCTAAGTATACTACGGGTTTGTCAAAAAGAGAAACAATTGGGTCCTACCATAAATCAAGCCTGAATTCTCCCTGGAAGCCAAGATCATAGAATCATAGAGTTGGAAGAGACCACAAGGGCCATCCAGTCCAACCCCCTGCCATGCAGGAACCCCCTGCCATGCAGGAACCCCCTGCCATGCAGGATGATAATAATAATAATAATAATAATAATAATAATAATAATAATAATAATAATAATAATTTTTATTTATATCCCGCCCCTCTGCAGAGCAATTGGGGTGGCTTACAACATTACAATTTCTATTAAACAAAACATAAAATCCCGAATCCCACCCATCCTTTAAGGATGATTGAGGCTGTCATACTCTGGCCACATCATGAGAAGGCATGACTCATTGAATAAGGCAATGATGCTAGGGAAGGTAAAGGGCAGCAGAAAGAGAGGAAGACCACTTGTCAGATGGATAGACTCAGTCAGGGAGACTATGGGGGGTTGCAGACTGCCAGGAATAGTGCAAATTGAGTCCACTTTTAGGGCTAGGGTTAGTGCTAGGGAATCATGGGAATTGTTTTTTTCCTGAGACATTGAGCCTTTTCTGTCAGAGCTCTGGTGCCACAATACAGTTCCCATGATTCCCTAACCCTAACCCTAAAAGTGGACTCAATTTGCACTATTTCTGGCAGTTTTATCCTATGGGCCTGAGCCTGCAAGACCTGATCAGAGGTGGAGGATAGGGCAGCTTGTAGACGTCTCATTCACAGGTTCACCATGAATCGATACCAACTCGAAGGCAGCTAACCACCACCACAACAAAACACTTCATGCACTTATTGACACAGACTTGTATCATTTCTTAACTCACCTTCCTTTCCTCTCACAGAGGGCACTAACTTTGTAGGGCTGGCCTTACAATCAAGCAGAGTGAGGTAGCCGCCTCCAACAGATTATTATTCAGTGCACTGTGAAGGCACAATAAATGCAAATCCATTTATGTCGTGCTTTCGCTTTTAGGGAGCAGGAGAGGGGATTCCCAAAACGACTTCCTCTAGCCAGTGAGGTATTATGTAGCTTAGTGCACTGTTTCACAAACATCTGATGTGGTGAACTGGCAATATGGCTCCCAAAGTGCCAGGGACTGGTGCCCTATTTGTGCCATATCAAAGTTGAACTTTAAGAGACCTAGTAGTCCTCATTGACCTATCTGTAAGGATGAAATAAGAGCCCATGATGCACCAATGCCAGATGAGCCTCAGTTTTTATCCATCAGCAATTTTTCAGTCAATATTCATCTTTAAAATACCTTGCTAGCTTGTTATGATGGAGCCCCAGAATTGTAGCATGGCATTTATGTCAACACAAAGTAAGAAAAATGGGCTTCTATGTGGAGACTACCTTATAAATTTTAGTACAGCTGGGAGTAGTAACTACTCAGGAGCGCTTAGAGAATAGGCTTTAAATTTTAAGTCAAAAATTGGATTTATTGTAAATGCCACATTCACAGAGCACAGATTTCTTAGTAACATACAGATTTATGCAGCTAAGCATTTTGACTGAGTAAAGAAATCCTCCTTGCACAGCTTTTTAAAGATGTGCCTAAGCTAAGCAGACAGCATAACAGAAAAGGGAAACGTAAACATGTAACTGCTTAAGCATACTTTAATGTATATAACATTTTAATATTATATACATTAACCATTTCATTCATATCTAAATGTAAAAACCAGCTCATCTGTTGTACATTGCAATTATTACCCCAGTCATTCATTAAGGTCAGGAAAATTAAGATACCTTTTTCATAAGAAATCAGTTACGCAAAGAAAACTGTATCACTACAAATTTTTATTCAGAAGCCCATCTTTTTAAAAAATTGTC